CATCTCCTGAAGGTCCCTGTGCAGAAAAATCGTCTTTAGTGCAGCACGTGGAGGTCAAGCAACCTCATGAACTAATAAGGTCTCACGTGTCCAATCTGATTGGTAAAAGATCAAGGAATGAAGATTCACAAAACTTTGGAGATCTTTGCCCCAGAAGCCATACTGGGGCAGCTGTAACTTCTTTCATGAACACTTCATATCGGCACATTCCTCATACTGATGTTCCAGAGATGTCCTCAGTTTCATTTATAAGAAAAAGCAATCTAGAGGTTACCCCAATAGCAGTTCAAGCACTCACATCTTTCAACACTTCTTTAAGTCCCAGGCTTGACAGAAACAAGTTTCTTGATAATAGCAGATTGGCAACTGGCTCAAATGTAGATAATACAGACTCCCCTCAGAGCAGATTCTGCAATGGCTTCCAATCAGACTCCAAGAAGGTGGACGTAAATCGGTTATCAAGTAATGCTGATGATTCTGCATCTTGGTACCACAATCTTTCAAAATCTGTCAAAGTCCCCACAGATGGAAATTCTTCTAAGGAGGTGAACCTGGACTCTGTGCCTATTAGTTCTTCAAATTTGACTGTTTACCAGAATATTATAGATGAAGGTAAGGAAGTAGGGGATTTAATCAGAAGATTACCTTGCTTCATAGGAAAGCCAGTTGGGATATGTGATAAAAGAAGTGAACAGTCAACAAATGTGGCATCTGTCTGCAAACCTTGTATCCCCAATTGCCAGTGTTCATCCCATGCCTCCCTTCTGAAACAGAGTCAGGATCTGCCTGGAGACAAAAACTACCAGAACAACCGAAAAGACATGTTACTTGATATAAACTTGGATTTTGATCCACTAGCCAACTCAGAAGAACAGCTAACTACAAATGAGCTACCTGCAGAAAAAGGACTTGAAAAAGAGCTTTGCGGTTTTAAAGTTTGCATAGACCTGAACTCATGCGGACATGGAGATGAATCTTCTCCATCACATTCTCATTCAGGTGAAATAGATTTGGAGGCTCCTGCTAGTCCAGAAAACAAGGAAAGTAATCGACCAAGAGGCGAACTTGACGAAAACCAAGCAAGTCCAGAAAACAAGAAGAGCTCTTTTCCCATTCGGCCAGCTGATGAAAAACAAGCAATATCAGAAAAAAAGGGGAATTCTTCATCGACAGAGGAGTATGGTAACAATCAATCTCCAGCTAACAAGGATAGTTCTCCACCCAGAGAAAGAGCCCATGAGAAACTGTCAACTCCGGAAAGCAAGGAGAGATCTCTACGAAGGGAAGAATCTTATGAGAGCCAATCAAGTCTTGCAAACAAGGATAGTCCTTCTAGAGTTGAATCTGATGGCCACCTAGAGATGCCTTTTTGGTGTTCCGATAATAAAAATCTGGAAGAGCTCGTGAGGGGTGCAGCAGAAGCTATAACTGCCATTTCGTCATCTGGTGTACGCACTACTCTAGAAATCCTCAATAATGAATGGGTTAAATCTTCGCCTCATGGCCAGCTCTATTGGTTTGCCAAGGTAGCCTCTTCAGTTGTGGACGATTCAGAGAGCAAGTATGGATTAGCTTTAAGTAGCAAGGATGGTGCTGTGCTGGAGGAGCTCCCGTCTGATGAGATTGACTACTTTGAGGCCATGACATTGCAGCTGACTGAGATGACGGCAGAAGAGTACCTCTGCAAAAGCAGTATTCCAGAACCAGAGGTAACAGTTCTCCCGTCCTTGCCTGATAAGCCAAGAAGAGGAAGAACAAGAAGAGGAAGACAGCAGCAGAAGGATTTTCAGAATGAAGTACTCCCCAGTCTAGCCTCTCTTTCAAGGTATGAAGTGACGGAGGATCTGCAGACAATAGGAGGGTTGATGGAAGCTGCTGGCACTCGTTGGGAAACTGGGTCTTTGAGAAATGCAGGTAGAAACGTATTGGCAAGAGGGCGGAGAAGGTCCTGTGTTTCAACTTCCAGGGTCCAAGAGAGCACAAGTAGCTCACAGCGGCAACAGCAAGCCATTAATCCCGAAGTCCAGATGGAGGAGAGAAAACTGATAAATTGGGGGAAGATAACAAAGGAGACGCAGGGGTCCGAGATGTCCAGCATGTAGTAATCGCAGCTTATTCTAGAGAAGTCTAGTAAGATAGTAATCTTATAGTCTCTAATCTCTATGGG